CCATTACATTGAAATCTGTTTAAAAATCCTCTCTCACCTCCATTGATATATCATCCGTATTTTAGGCCGGTGGTACTAAATGTATAAAATATTGCCTTACGGACGTAATGTCTGTTGTTGTTCCTGTTTCTACAGCATCAGTTACCAGTTTTATCAAATGTTCTCTCTGCCTGTTTTCTATTTCAATTATCTGATATACCCTGACAAACCTAACCACATTAAACTCCACATGCTCACAATAATAACTAGTAATTATCGGTGACGTGTAATTATATAAGTACGTCGTTGTACGAAGCATCACACACATCAATACACGGTAACAAGGTGTATAACCAAATGAATTCACGTTTTTGTAAAAACTTCAAACAAACTTCCTTTTCAGTTCCTAGGCTAAATTTGTCATATTCTTTTTTAATTAATTTATTGTTAGTTATCTTGTGGGTATCGGCATCAATTACCTCTATATTAGAGCATGGGGACTGTGTTGGGCCCAAAATGCATTAAACGAGAGTAATGAAAATTTTCTCATTCAGTTTACTATTATAATATATTGAAGCATATATGGTTTCGGTAAAAATGAAATTTAATTTCCAGCATGTTAAAGTGTAATTAAGATCACAACCATGAACAATTATGATATGTATTCGACAAAAAATAAGTTATGAAATGTCAATTCTATTAAACATTGGCTATTGATGATGCAGAATCAGGTCCGTGCTCATATTTACAGCATGCTGTTTAAAGTGGTAACATATTTGTACTTCTTTGTCGTTGATTGAACGCTGAATATACCCAAATATTAGCATTCACAGCACATGTATTATATCTCATTTAATAAAAAGTATTTTAACTACTTTTACTGGTAATCACTTTATGTTTTAGTAAAACAACAACAAAGTACGAATATAATTTTCCATTACCCTACGTTTTTATCGTGAAATAATAAATCAAACTGAAAAACTCGAATTTTCTATCCTTTTCCATAATCGTTAAATTGAGACATAGAGCATCTGCTATGTTCCGTTACCAGCTTCAGTCCGCGTTGTTCTTTCCTCTGCTATTTGAATACCCTACAAAATATCGGAAATGTCATGGGTTGAAAGCCATGTTAATTTACTTATCGCAGAAAGCACCTGTTTTTCTAGCATATCATTGCCTTCAATTCATTTCTTTAACATCCTGTGTCGCTTTCGCTTGTCAAGACGAACGAACACATGGAGGGCCGCTTATACCATGATGTAGGGCCGCTAACGACATTGGCAGTCAAAATATTGGACAGATGAAGCTGTCAGCACGTGCTAAGGCAAGAACAGATCTCCACCGAGACTGATCTGGAATTGGCCATGGAAAATACATTTATACAAAACACCCCCGTATCTCTACACCATACTGTATCTGACCACTCTGTAACTGCCTTAGTTTTAAAAACTCCATGAAGATTTATAGAAAATGGAGAACAGAATCGTCGTTTAGCAGAGTCAGATTCAAGATTTTCTTGTTCATAATGTTAAACATATGTCTTTAATAGAAACACTATTTTTACTGATCCGTCGATGAATGTATGAAAGTGATAATTTTCAGATTGTTGATATGCTTTGGTATCATTCGTTTGATATTTAACCACACTATCATATTTTTGTTTCTTTATTAATATATTCGATATGTATAATGCTGCTGGAGTTATATATTTTTTATATTATTTTCCCCACGATATCGAATTGAAATAAAACATCATAATATAAACTACTCATTTATTAGATATATAAATAAATACTCTCAGTAACACCATGAACAGATATGTGTATGACATTATAATGACACTTGCACTCCGACACAACAAATAAACTATTTATGTTAACGTTTAACTATGCTGGCATTAATTACGTTATCACAACTAAACAAGTGATTAAATTTATTAACTAGTTTGAGTGAATTGATAAAATCTGGCATATTTGCTGAGTTCAATAGCCCCCAGGTTAAATCAATAGAGAGGCTGGTAACACTTTCAGATACACGTATCTCCTTCTCACGTATTACAGAACTTGATCAATGGGCACATTATTCATACATTACTTTGAAACATTGAAACACGAAACATTACACTGGTTATAGTGTTCGTGTTCTGGACTGAAGACAGAACTTACTGAATTGAAATTGACATTGTTTAACAAACGTTTCATCCATAACTTAAACAAAATTGTTTGTGGAAAGAGATAAATAAGCATGTAGGTTCCATTCCCAAAACCATTATTTTCGAATAAGATAGTTAATAAGATTATCATCTCCAGGGGACCGCTTCACATTGTGATGAAGAATCTCTTTGGAGTTAAATCCGACGTATTTGCCAAAGACAGAGACACGATTATTGGGTACAAGCCATTTCAACATTTCCAACGCACTTTCCTCCATTATATAAATTATATTAACAAACACAGGCATAAATAGGCAGATTGTAATATAGAAATAGAAAGCAAACAAAAGCGAACCACAAAAAGTCTCAAAATCCGAATATTCAGCTTGCGGACCTTTTGTTTTTACTTCTTGCACATTTTCGAAATATTATATATGCATGATGTGATAATGATATATTACACGATCTGTTATGGAGATGGGTAGTGCATATATAGCAGCGTATATGTAAAAATGGGAAATTAAAAAATGTTTTACTTTTTTTTTTATAAATATTTCATAAAATATATTTTCTTCAAAAATATCAACATGGATTGGAACCACTCATTCGGAAGTTCAGTTATCAACAGTGCTGTACATTTTTTCCCCATTTTGACCACACATTGATATAATATTATGGAAATTTAAAGCAATTGATTTCAAATGCTTTGATGTTGTGTAGTTATATAACCATAGTTATGATAATTACAATTTCACATGCGCATTTTATGTTTTTGGTGTGGCGTGAATAATAAAGCCATGTATGCTTATTCCTTTACAGCTCATAGCTGTCATTGTTAGATATTAATATAACAGGTAGAGCAACACTAGCTTTAACATTAAAGAATGAGAAATAGAAAGTCAAATATTAGATCAGACAGGAGTTTTGAGAGAAATTATCAAAACATGTGATATGATATCGGCATGTTTATTTTCCCCCAAACGTGTAAAGTTATACTTGAATAAAGTAAAATATAAATATAGCTTGTTAGAAAAATAAAAATCAATGCGCAAGATCATTATTAATTAAGAGGTTGTGATATAAAATATTCACATATTATTGATAACATGTGTGGAAAATCTTATCTGATAGGAATCATTTTCAATAATTGGAATGTGTCGTTTATTTAGCAGGTTAATGAAGAATGATAGCACCGTTTTAGAAATAGAGTTAAATGCACAGATAATTGTTGAACGGTTACTCGCCAGGTTGTCATGTGTCATGTGGAGTAGCTGATACTGTCTAGGTTATGGTGTCTCGGGTGGTAAATACTGATACTGTCTAGGTTATGGTGTCTCGGGTGGTAAATACTGATATTGGTCAGGTTAGAGTGTATCGGGTGCCCCTGCCATACGAAGGTGACTTGCAAATAGAATTTATCTCGAAACCGTTTACTTCTCCATAACACATAGCGGATAATTAAGGAATATCGACAGATTTTCGAGATATCACCTTAATCACTTTATCTATTATCAACACGATCAATTGATCAAGAGGGTTATTAATTTATTAGATAACCAGAGCGAGCTGATCGAAGTCCTACACGTGTTACAGACAAACAGTGTAACTTTCGTTGATGATATAATTACTGGTGGGTCATATCCATCTAAACATCGACATGTGTACGGGACCCCGGGAAGGACAGCAGAAATTGTTTATATACATCTTGATATTTAATATTGCGTTAATATAAATTGTAAAAACAGTCGCCCGGCTACTTTGTTTTTTTCTGTTCTGTTTTTGTATGTAATGAGCTGTTGGTGAGTATATAAATAAATAATCATACACGTTTTATTTATTTGATCAGAGGCGGATAGCGAGTTATCGTAGAAGATAACTGTTACTTTAAACGGACCTGTTTTGTTTTCATGCCAGGATCTTTATGTTTAAATTTTCAATAATACATGTTATTGGTATTGTGTTATTGTAAATAAAGCTCAATATATTTCTAAAATATAATACCAACATAAAGAATACAACCTTTTATAACGAAGGCATATATTTATTTACTACTTTACAATTACATAATTATTAAAACGATAAATTATAATTTTTGTCAATTAAATAAAAGAGCATAATGTATCATTTTATTATTATGTTGTTTCTGGTACTTTTGGCAAATTGGAAAAGGTGTTTCTACCCATGTAGACATACAGGGGTATACTGTGTTTTCACCAAAGGAATAGTAATACACTACGAAATGTTTTCTCCTTGTTGTGAGACGAAATGTTGTTATGAAGCAGCACTAACAGATTAATGTAGATCTTTTGTTGTTTATTGTTAAAATATCTACCATGTTTAACACAAATCAATTTCAAACAGTTTACAATAGATATTGTAATTATCGAACAGTTCAGCTAAGTTGCTTTTTTCAGAATTTACCTTACACTTTGAGTGTAAAACACTTACTTTTTCAACTGAACTAATACCATTGTTTTTACTCCCTCGAATATAAAGGGATAGTTATTGTTTCAAAGACCATTTATTTAAAATAAGAAAAAAGTAACAATAGAAATAATGAGATACATAAAGAGTCCCTCACTTGTTACGGCGCGGTAAGACAATGCTACACAAGTTGATCTGTTGTTTCGAATCGTTTTTGTGCCAATGTCTCTGGCTTTATCCTACGTAGAAAGCGTCATTATCTGTCGGGTAATCGTGTTGGTAGACCAGGTAGTGTGCCTGTTTACATTTTATCCCTATTGGAACACATGTGTCTACAAATTAAAGGCGGAGCGAGTGTCTGATTTGATATCCGACATCAGTTCGGGGCAGGGCGACTGTCAGCCAAGGCGCGAACTAAGCCATACATCAGACTGCCTCAGCCAATCAGCGGGCACGGTCGAGCCCAGGGCTTTGTCGGGACGGTAGGTGGTAGTGTTTACAACATGGTTAGTATCAACTAATTCATTTTGTATTAATGTTTAGGCTTTTGTCCCATGTAAGAATATGTAGCGTGTTTAACCCAGTAAAATGGTAGCTTTGGCCTGATGTACTTGGGATTCCGTTAAGTGATAAAAGTGTGAACGAACTCGGAACAGTGTGGACATTCTTACTAGTGGATAAACAGTGTGACCTCCGGACCTAACGGCGGACAGAGGACAGACACAGTGCCAGTCACCGGACCATGTCCTTACCCCAGTTCGCTCCATACCCGTTTCCTGGTCCTTCATCAGTCTCAACTTCTCCGGTAAAGCCATCTTACTTATTTACTTTCATTCTGTGCTTATGGATATTTTAACAATAGTATCAGTATTACTTGTTCACAAATATATTCTTTTGCCTTATAAATGCTTAATTTTACATGTACTTTTCTTAGTTTATGGTTTACTGTACATACTGGCTCATTTTATGCATTACATGTTTTTTTTATATTCTTCACAAAAGTAGAAATAATATTTATGCTAGTTTGTAGAAAGATTATCTGACAATGATAACATATCCTGGTGTGAAAAATTGCCAACTATTCGGTGGAGAAATATTTGAGTGGGTTTTAGCACCACTTATCTCGCGGAGTATGTATGTTATTGTCATTAACTTGTGAGAGAGATGTGACCTGTCATTTGCCTCCTCCCAGATGCCTGGTCCAGGGTCGTCTGCGGCCGGTCCCCGGGGCTGCTGTGAGAACGGTCGCCCCATCATGACTGACCCACACACTGGACAAACAATATGCTCATGCCAGTACAGCTCCACCCTGCTCAGCTACTCCCGGGTCCCGGGGATTGCGGACGGGGTGTACGGGAGTCCTCCCTATGGACCTGCCCAGGGTTTCATGCCCCTCGGGTCTGAAAGTTCGGCCTTCTACTCACCACTGGTAAGTACTTAGTCAATGTTGTTTATATTGACAGACATTCTTGTTTTATTCATAATAAATACCACTATAAAGAATATTATAGAAAATATTGGTTTTCTACTCCTCTATTATATCAATAGTAATATATATCTTATAACCATTTATAACTTAGTAAAAATATGTTTTGATCATTTTGCATATGATCAAAAAAAGAAAGAATGTATTATCCATCAAATCAGATTAAAATAATTGTTTTCACCTTACTCAAATGGTCAAAGCAATTAATATATGTAATGCAGTAATATCGTATAGAAATAAAATCCAAATACATTATTATATACATACTCGATCAGACATAAGGTATCGCTAATATTACTCCAATGTACAGAAACAATAAAGTCAGAAAAATATTATGAACTGAATGTATTATATAAGATGAATTTTAAGAAATATATTATAAAAATGGAATTATTGGAATGTCCATATATTAAATGAAATAGCAAAACTAATAATAATACAGTATCAATTTGATTTGTTTAATAATATTTGTATAAAACAATAGTATACAGCATTTTAGTTTAAACGGAATTTATTAAATTTCAATTTAGAGGAAACAAATGATAGCCCTAATCTTTAAAATATGTTTTTTTGGATTTTTGTTCGATAAATGAATCACGTACATAATAAAATACCAGATAGAAATTGATTAGATGTCGATTAGAGGAAATATAATGACAAGAATAATACCTATTTTATATTTACTTTGTTTGCAAAAGAAGCATCAGGGCTGATAAAGTATTGTATTATAAGCTAATCACCTGTGGAAGATAACATAAATCAGTGCCACATTGCCATTGAGTTGTGTATTGTGACACGATATTGACGAGCGATTGTTTTGTGAGTAGGATGACAAAGGTAGTGACAATGGAGCAGGCCACGTCTGCGGTAGACAATTCGTGTCACCAACCCGCGGTTACTCACATGTACATGTACATTGGTACTCGGGTTGTCAACACTGGTCTGAAACGACTTTACCACCCTGAAACAGGGGTAAGGGAGGGGAGGGGAGGAAATAGACCTAGGACCTAACCTTATTATATTTCAAATAAAAAATATACCCTGTATTGTTATGTTGGAAGACAAAAATAACATGTATACAGATATGAATATCTATCCGTTACACTGTATGATGTGAACCGGAATGTACTTAATAACTTAAAACCTTGAACAGGCTATTCTAGGTATCTACAAAAAACCATGAACGTATAAATACCCCATACTATATTATTTCTTTTAAGGTAATTTTATATTAAATAATCAAGTTTTAACAATAGCATCTATTATATACTGCAACATAGACATTAAAAAACGTGACCATGATGCTGTGTTGCTGTGACTCTGATACTGCTAAAGCACTGAGTGTTACAGCCTATTTTCCATTAATTTTCAGACAGGAGGAGCATTTGATGCCAAAGACGGGGCTGAGGCGTGGCGAAGCCTCACCCAGCCCGGGGCTTGTTTCCCATATGACCCGGCGGTGGCGGTGTATCCGTATGGCACGGGGTAGGTACCACCCAGAGACGAAGGGGTGCGGTCAGAACGTCCGTCACTCGGCATGGGGTACCGGGTGGGCTAGTGTTACACAGACTACATGGTAGCGTTCTGCTATTTGTGAGGTCCCTTACAGAAAACATATTTCGTTTCAATGCATCGTTATTCGTATTCCCGTTTGTATAATTCCATGCTAGATTTTTTCAGTGGTTAAATTCAATTTGATATCAGTTTAGTCGAATGTTTGTATTCTCACTTTCTGAATTCAGCAATGCCCATTTGTGATATTGTTAGTGTAACCCTACGCCGTGTTTAGACGCTCGTTACTCACGGATGGTCGGACTTGAGAGGCTATCAAAAGCCCGATGCTTAGTGCTTTAATATTGGAAGTGAAACTCGGGGCGCGATAGCTATTCATGCAAACTAATTTACTTCAAATCAATCTAAACACGTTCCATTTATTGGGTGTTAGGACTGGGCTAAAGATACCAAACACACATTGAAAATATGACAGATTCTAAATGTACCTAATAATTACCCGGGCATTATAGGACTGAGAGTAACACGCTCTTATTGATGTTGTAAAACACAAGTCAATTATCCAGTTCATCAAATTACAATGTGTGCAACCATGTTGCTTCTAATTGTATAGCTATAGAAATTTAAATATACGTTATCTACTTACGAAAGTAATGTTATAGGAATGGATATATTTAGCATATAATGATAGGTATTAGCAATATAAAGCAACACATGATGTGTCGATATAGAAATCATTATTGTAACAAACACCCTTGAAATACTTACACGGAAAAACAGAACGACGAACTGTATGATGTTTATATATAAATATATATTATTTTTATTTTTATTTCAGATATGGTGGCATTGATTTAAATGCAAGAAGAAAAAATGCAACACGTGAGACAACAAATACTCTGAAAGCTTGGTTGTACGAACACAGAAAAAATCCCTACCCGACAAAAGGGGAAAAAATCATGTTAGCTATTATCACAAAAATGACACTGACACAGGTATCCACGTGGTTCGCTAACGCGAGGCGGCGATTGAAAAAGGAAAATAAAATGACATGGTCGCCACGTAACAGATCAGAGGATGGTACAGAAAACGACGATAACGACGACGATTGTGACAACAAAGACGACGATGATGATTTGGACTTGTCGTGCAACGGTAGTACTAGTGACGGTCCGTTAGACTTGGGAACAAAACCAGTCTCAGATGAATCAGGTCAGTTCTCTTTTATATCTACATCTTGTTTATATCACACACCACACACGCTGTAAACTGTATACATATATTTAAACATGTTCTATATGTTGTTTATGAATCGTTGTATTTATAAGATCCCCCAGTTGATACTACACTTAACATATACTTATATGTCATCATACATTCGGTAATACTTTATATATATTAATATATCGTTGTTATGCACTAAATTTGTTGCATCTCAAAAATATGTTAAACACGAATTAAAAATACTAAAAATTGGTGTTTAATACAAATTTTCACAGAATTTGTGTCGCTAAAAAAATTATGCTTTTATAAAAAAAAATACTTATATGTTAATCATAACTTTTGGATTAAATTATTTTAATGTACAATATTTCTTTTTCTATATAACCAAATTAATGCAAATTACTATAACATTATTAATCTTTTGTCAATAAAACATTTCATAATAAAATCGTATGGATATGCTATAAATTATGCACTTGATAATATATATATATAAATGAGCTGCCTTTTGCCATAAATACAGATGTTACACTAATAACCGATTTCAAATGTAGTTGTTTTTAATTTTGAAGCATTTACTTTTTTCGATGTACTAAAGAATCAATCACTAACTTAGTTTTAGATAATATATATATAACAATATATTTACACTTCAAGTGTCCGTATGGTTGCGTTCATTTGTACTAAAATACTTGTTTATACATACCGTCGCCGTATTCAATATAATATTTTATAACATAGTTAATAGACCCGTTATAATATCCTTCATACTGTCTTACATAAACTTTTGAGAAACACTGAGATATTTTCTCAAAATCATTTTTAAAAAAACTCATTAAATGAAACAAGTAAATACGATACATTATAAAATGAGTTAACGAATTGAGCGTTTTTCTGTTTTATATACAAAGCAAATATTTATCTGAGGAAGTCACAAAAAATGTATATAATATACAAAGCAAATATAGTTATCTAAAAAAGTCACAAATATATATATAATTTCCAAGTATATTTTTCAAATTTTAGGATATTATTTTGTTTTAAACACTGTTAAAGTGGTTATTATCCTGATGTGACGCTAAAGTGTGTAATATAAGGATGTTTTTTTCTGACAGATGGCCGATTATACGTGAAAAAATTCTGTTGACAGAAAGAAAACGTCATCAATTATGACAAGAAAAGAAAATGTATATACTTAATATATTGGATATTTTGAATAGAAAACAAATAGACACATTTATCTTGCAATAATTATATCTGAAATGTATAAGTAGGATTGTTATTTCATGTTATTGATAAACTGTTTTCATAAACCATATAAACATATTTGTAGATAAAATACATTTTTTAATATATCTATATCCATATAAAGAAAATGAGAAAATGCATTAACAGGTAAACCCGAGTTTAAAGTTTTATACTATATCAATCATGCTACGGTCTTGTGTAATAAATCACCACTCCAAATACCTCGGCTACAAGGTGTGATGGCTTGTCGGCATAATTAATGGCACCTTGGCATGCTTATATACATATAAATTACAGTATTTGTCGTGTGCATTTGATTCCTTATTAGTAAAATATCAAATAGAATAACGCATGTTATAAAATCAATCAAAAAACTGAAATAGATATTGGTTAAACGGAAGAATAATGAGAATCACTTTCAATTAATTTCATTGCTTTTTAATATTAATCCGTGTTAAAATTATGGTATGCAATCTTAAAATAAAGTATACTGATCATATTGATTGATTATGGAAGATATGCCATTCTGTGGTAGAGTTATAATTTTTAAACGGGACGTTTATTGTAAAGAGTGCTTTAAGTATACACGGATGTATTTTTAGCTTTAATGTGTAATCCTTTGGACATGATTTATCGTGGCTAGGTTAACTGTTGATACTGTAGACATGTCCAGTCGTCTAACAATGTCCAGTGGGACAATAGCTGACCAACTCAAGATACGATCTTTCCAAGCAAACTCGGGCTACCATAATTTATGCATATGGATTATATATATATAAATATATTATATTATATTTGTGAATAGAAAAATAGATTTTATGTGAGGTATATAATTTCTTTATAGCAAATAAAACATTTTATAATGATGATGAGTAGGGTAAAATTTGCATTATATAATTGTGTTTCTGTGAACACTCTCTTAGTCGTTAATGTGCCTATCCAGGTCTGACAGAGTTTTGTAAAGGTGTATACAGATAAAAGGACAGATATGGCTAAATAGAGACAAACCGGAGATAGCATATATGATACGCTTATTTAAAAGTGAATTGAGACCTAATGATAAAACAAAACGTCAGATCATGTCTTTAATACGGTGGAAAAACAGCCTGAGTTGCCTAGGGCTAGTGTAAGACATAACATAAAAACTTAGATTTTCATATCTCGTTACGCGAAGCCGGTCAACGTGAAACGCTGGGGGCCAGTGTAGAAATATAGCTGAGATTTGGGTGTTGGATTAATAAATGTGGTCTGACATTACTGTAGCTGTAAGGTAACATCGCCGGCCTGACAAACGACATCTCAGCAGACAACACAGTCTCCTAAACTGAGAACAAGTGTTAGGAAGACACACTTGTCACAAATCATCTTTGCAACCCACACAATCACCTATGTAATTACCTCAACACGTCTTCCTGCTTAAAGGTTTACATAAAAAATCAGTTTTCCGTTAGGGTAACGTCATTAATATTGACACAGTTAAGATTTAAACTCGACATCAAAGTAATTGATATTTTCAATAATAATATAGCATTAAATAGTCCCATGCCTTTCTTTCTTAACCTTTTATTTTATTTTACTTTTCCGTTAATCTCATATTTTTTTTTTATACTTTTGTGTGATATTAAAATAAAATATGCTTTTGAAAATAATTTTTGAGCTGGAAACAAAGGCGAATTTCCTACGAATACATAGACATTGTTTATATATGTAGATATATAATTACAAAATTACAAAACAGTTATACTGTCAATTGATAGTGAGTATGAATTTCCATAGCACCAAACTGTTCAAATTGACTAATGGCCCATTTCTTTTTCCTGGGATATTGATAAGTACTTTTAAAAAGATATCTTACTAGTAACCCTGGCTGAGATCTAAGTAAATGATGGTTGTGTAATTTGCGGGAGAACATGTGTTTTGTATACAAGTACAGGAGATGGTAGCCTTAAGTAGATGTTTAGACGGTATGTCTGTCTGGCATGCGAGGTCCTTGGCCCCCTGTCTCCTGTATATTCCGTCCTCTGTATATAGGACTGGCGATATTAGTTCCAGTATATACATTTATCATCGTTCAATAGCGCCAATACCATAAACAACAATACTAACAACTGCTTAGCTCCAGACACGAGGAAAAATTCGATACAAATTACCTCAAATGATAAAAAAAACATAACGCTAGATTACATAATTGAAGAAATAAATAACTTTATTCTCTTTCACAAAAAAAAAATTGACGTTAGTCTGATAATATTTTGATAACTTTTTCTCATTTTTTTTTCAAAAGGAAACATGTTTTGGTTATGTTTTATTTGTTATTTTCTAGCATGTGGGCATTCGTGTTTCTTGGGTCGACAATGCATTATGTAAAGGAAAATGTTCCAAATGTCCTGCCTAGAGATATTATTTGAGGATTCTGAAGATTAAAGAATGTTATCTTATTTTCTAAAAATCACAAGTGAATTAAACCCGGTCGTTACAAACTCAGAAACGCGATGTTGCATGTCATAATCATAGATTAATGATTTAAGTAAAAGACAGACTGTGAAATTTGTTGTAAGCCGACTGATCCGACTTCTCTGAATCATGTCCCAAATGAACAGGTTCCCGACACGTCCCGATAACCTGATAGCCAATTCGTGAGAACTCACTACATTGTTTTAACTTAATCATCATTTTGAGCCACGAAATGATTTCTGAATCCCCTTGGATTAAGTTAGTGAAGTTTCATTCTCTTCTTGCTATCGGAAATGTCAGTCATCTGTTGGTTTCGTTACGTCTATAAGGAGGTGAGACGCGTCACCATGCCAGACCCACAGCCCCGGTCCCTAGATATACGTGCCCCGTTCCGGTATGCAAGCGTGTCACGCTGCGTGCAGGAGAATCCCAAGTCCCGGACAAATTTAATACTTTTCTATTTTCTGCACCGCCGCGTCCCATTGGTGTGCAGTGAATCTCCAAATTAGCCGTTATCTCCTGATTTCTAGTGACAGATCTAGCTACACACAAATGTATATGGCAATTTGTTCCATCTGACACTTAAAGTCACCGTGGTCTTAACCACTCAGCCAGTCCATTTGTTACTGCAAGGGTTCGTGAGGTGTCAAGTCGGGTACGGCATACGACAGCAAAACGTCTACAAACAAAACTATTATTTTATCAAAACCTCTTTGTTTGATTAACATCAAAATAGCAAAAAGACACGATAGAATATCAGAGCCACTCGTTAATAAATAATTGATTCCAGAAAGTCGTGAAGCTATTTTCTTATTTATGGGTGATTTACAAAATAATTACATTGATATCGTTTGCCGCTCAGATTTGCCCGCTAACTAGAATTATGGAAATGCGTTTCACATGTGGAAGCGTTCTATCATGGAAGTTGTTCGTTTTGCAAACAGGATGAGCAAACTATCCAGATGCGACTTCCGTGACACGTGCGAGTATTCAGTAATGCAAATTTAAAAACATGCACGTGCATGGAGCTAATCTTAAAAGAAATTCGGAGGTCGCTTGAGATTGGGTAATTTCGTTAATTTCTAGCAACTTATAATTACTTCTAGTAACATGTGATAAAGAAGGAAATAATTATCTAATATACGAACAAATACAACGATAAAGAGAGATTGGATACACAATAGATTTACTCTGCTGTCTGTTTCAGTGATTCATCTATTGGCGTAGTGTAGTAAGGCTCAGAATCATCAAATGACCAGTAATAAAACGGTTAAATAATATAAAATATATAAAGATATACACGTGTTAAACAAAAATTACCTCATTGACATATTGCATTTTTACATCTTAAAAAAAGTGCAACTGAAAAGATCCATACATTTTTTGAGCTGAAGTTTATCACAACCTCCTTGCATGTTGCCCAAGCTACAAAATATACTTTGTCTTAAGCAGTATGTTTGAAAAAAAAATAAAAAAAAAATGGTTTTATCTCCTTCGACCTCTAATATAAGGTATTCTTACACATGTGATAAATAATGATAAATTGCCACTATACACTAAGCACGTTTTAGCTAGATAAATTCATATTCCTTTTTATATACGAAGTTTTATGCATATAAATCTACATTTCTGAAGTCACAGAAATATTATCATCGTGAGAAAGTTCAGTGGTAGTGACAACTAGCATCCAGTTACGTGTCTTAAAAATATTTGATATAGGTATTAATTTAACAAGTAAGTGTATACCCACCTATTATTGCACGTGGGAATTGATATTGGACGTCTCCACAAAGGTGTTGATAACGATTCTGCATATTCCCGACGAAAACGTTTGCGAGTTTAATATACCATTTAATATACCATTTAATTAATATACCATTTAATATACCATTTAATATACCATTTAATATACCATTTAATATACCATTTAACAAAACAAAATTACAAAACATAGGATATTCTATGATTAATCAGAAAAAATACAATGGTCACATTTTGAGTAAATACATATTATCAGAAACCTGGAATCTATTTATATAACTAAAACAAATCCATTTTATTTTGTTTCATTAATGACGCAGAAGTGTCGGGCAATATTCAATACAATACATTTGATTCTGGAATTAAATTTCACCAATTTCGAGATTCAACCCTAAAGAAGGTAGCTTTTTCAGGGCTCAGCCAACCAGCTGTGGTATGGGGAGACATGTCCTAACAAAGCTATTAACAAACAAAAGATTACCTACAATTTTAAATGAAATTTTATTGTAATAAACTAGCCAACGCTTCTGCATTCAATGTTTTGTGTGTGCACAACAACGCCATAAAGAGTTGTCGTGTAAATGAAAGGCGATCCGAGGATGACTTCCTCTTTTATATTCAAACATCGCTTTTTGTGTCGGACACAAGGGTACCAGCGTTTGCCAGCTCTGCTTGGCCGTGATTGTACCAAATAGCTCAATAATTATCCATGTGATAAATTAATACTGCTTTTCGTATTAAATTAATGTTATGACCTTTGTATCAATGAGCTGACGGACAATTGTGTTTCTAAAGGGATGATTTTGCCTCATCAAAATTAAATGTTTACAATACAGCGGTGAATAGCATTGATAATATTGGGCTTTTACAATCTGTTTTACATCCACTGTCGTGTTGGAGCACTCTCTTTCATACTTCCTCGCATTTCCACTTAACATAATTCCAATCAATCGTAGATGATATCTTTGGCTTTAATTGAATCGGATAATGCACTTTTTATGCCTGGCGGTTGATAGTGTTTACCGTGGGGAAGACACTGCTAATAATATGCCTGCCGACATCCCTCGCACGGCGTTCTGTCCGTCTCCTATTGCCATAGACCGGTTATTTACTCCATATAAGATCGACATTAAGCTGTAATCAATTCCCTCCAACACAATGTTTTTGTTTCTCAATTTTCATTTCAATTTCGATGTCACTTTCGTTTATACATAGGAAGTGTACACGATTTATTACAATTAACACGAGTCCTTGATCTCCTGCTATCCCTCTATTCATGAACAAAATGACACGGGTTTGCGACTGAACCTGTTATTAAACAATTATCCTATGATTTATTTACAATCTATCGACATTAATTAGCAAAATAATAATTTGATAAATGATCTAAAAGTCGTGGAGTTTCAAAAGAACACTCATTATCAGAATCTCTTTACACGGGAGTTTACTTTCCCTTAATCAGTAACCAAATTTAATTGATTACTTTTAAAAGAGGAGTATGGCTGCTCACAAATATAAATATATATTCAAAAAGAAGAAAACAAATGTTCCTGATTTACATAATGAGAAATGTGTATGATTTATCAGATATAATTTGACGTATCAGATTTAAAGTAATCTATATTCGTTTAGGTATTTTTTATGATATCGTATTTGATCATTTAAAGCATGTACGAGATATGTTTTATTTTCTTTATCCAATAAAACAAATGGAATATGTCATATGCTAAGATATGTGCTGTAGGATGAATAGTGATATGTTAATACATTTGTCAGTGCATTATGATATTTGGCATATTGTTGTATGTATCAGCAATATACATATCCCACTTTTAATACTATTGCGAAAGATTGGATATCATAAACCAAGATAACTTCAACGATAACAAATAATTTACCTGGATATAACCATGGATTGGTAAATATAATCATGGATTGTAAACATTGTACATAGATATACAGTAAAAAATTGTAAATTACATACCAAGGCAAGGATTTCAAATATTAACCTTGATATGGTCCTAGATTGAAGTAAATATTATTTGAAAATAGAGTAATAAGAATAGGAAATCGTGTATTAAGATATAGATAGGAATAAAAATCACATATAAGAAGATAATAATACGGCATGATCTATTCAAAGATTTTCACAAATACAACATTATATAGTCAAAGAGATTGAAACTATGTATTAAGATGTAGTGGAGGATTGAAAATAATAAAACAATTAAGAGTCCAAGATTGGTAAATACATTTATTTTTACAAAATATTGTTGCAAACCTGCCATAATGTTTGCGTACAAAACATGAGTATTAAAAGCATTTAATGTACAATTGGTTCCTTTCTCCTTCAGAATCTGGACAAAGAAAGCAGCCAATGAAAGAAAGAATGATCAACGTAGACGATGATTGCGATGACGATGATTCGAATTTGAGTTTTAAGGACATCGATGAGTTAGATCCCGTCCGGACATCGGCTCGACGGGAGAGTGTGCGCGCTGATATCAGTGACGATGATTCTCAGGCTCCAAGTATAGGTGGTGATTCCCGTTGTAGTGAATTGGCATCCCCATCACTACCGAGGGGTTCTGAATGTAGATCAGAGACAATCCCGTCAGACAACGATTCTGAGACTCAAACGAGACCCAAAATCTGGTCTGTGTCAGAATTCCTAAACTCGTCTACAAGCAGTGCTAGTGACACTTCAAAATCCGAACCACGGGTAACTAAAGCAATCTCACAACAGCATGGTGGTCCTGGGTTTTTCTACCTCCCCGCCTCGAAGAACTCTCTGACCTCGGGTAGATTTGCAGCATTTGGGGCGTATCCTTTGTCCTTTAGTCATACGACGCTGTCCTACCCATATTCGCTTACGTCACATACAGCGTCAAAGGCAGGAATCATGTGTTCCACGTCACGGTTACAGGGGCCGGAAAATCTCTCCACCGGCGGCCCCGACAAAATACTGAGATCTCAGAACGGACTCTTCTCACCAGCTAGAGACATTGATGTTGTAAAACACTCGGGTAAATTTTAGAATATATGTTACATTAAATGTGAAAGCTTGGAAAATAGATTTTGTTTTTGTTCTTTTAAGTTTAATTTACAATACATTTTATAAATAAAAAATTGTTGTTGGGTTATGTATATTTTCAAATATAATAAAATAATAATAATATATTATCGAATTCCGATTGACTTTACTCTACTGAATTGAAACACATATTAACTGAAAAAAATCAAAAAAAAAATCTTGGTGAACTTCACACCATTGAGTAACAAAGAACAACGAATACTAGGGAAACTTTAATAATTTAGTTGATATGAAGAAGGCCACGTATTATCATCGTTTGGGCCTATAGATATATTTTTGAAAAAATTGAAATCTCAATATTATATTAGTTCCTTTAGAATACACAAACACTGTGAAATATATCATTTTGGTATTCAATATAACACAACGAACATCAAAATAACATCTGTTAAACATTGGTAAATAAAATGCACAAAGACGACATTTAATACTTTTATACGATAGGAAGCATATGTAAAATAGACCTCACAAAACTTATTTCACTCAAATAGATATTTTTAATATTACTATTATATACTTCATACTTTATAGATCTAACGTGTGCCACATATTTGACAGACAATATGTTTTTCTTAAAAATGTTTTGTTGGGTCTCATGTTGTATTATCTTTTGTTTTGGTCTCTCCGCATTTCTTCATGTATGAACTATGGGTTTTGTTCTTATATAATCCCGATTTGGTACTTCTTCTAGATTGCTATATATTAAAAATAATTTACAAAATGTTTAATGGTTCTTTTCATAAATCATTTGTGCGTTTATATCTGATGGAAAAAAGGAAACAAAATTTAGATATTGATCACATTAGTTTTCAAAGAATTGCTATGATATCTGATATTTTCAAAATGGCGTAAACATATGCTTTTTAACTAGTTTATAATGGACACTCATTTATGCTCAATATATTTTGGGAAATATTCACATAATTAGTTATTTTGAAATAATGTTCAAGTCTTAAATATGAGCGACGCATACGGTGAAACGTTTTATTTTCATGATATTTGCACTCTTATAACATGTACATCAGAAATAGATTGTAAGTGCTGCGAGCATCTCCTAGTCGTACGGATTATGTTTAAATACAAGTTTCATGCCTGTCCTAAGATAATACTCAACATTTTAGTCAATATTAAAAACATGAAATAATTAAATATACTAGTTATGTTTATAAAATAGGTTAACTATATTTGCAATCTTACAACAATCAAGAGTTGATGTCGGCGTGTTTCTTGAAGTTCAATGAACAGGCGTCTGTGTGCTGAGATGGGATATTTGCCTATTCATTATATATTGCGAAAGAGAAGAAAAAGAATAATTCAATACAGATAGATTAGTCCGATTAGGGTTACGTGTGTTAGCAGAATTAGAAAATATTGCTCATGATTTTCATTAGAAAAAAATGATGAATATTTTATTGGAAGATAACCATTACACTAAATCAGGAAAAAAAGGTTAAAAATAGAAATGAATTATAACTTTGTTATTCTTCTGAATGGAAATAATGTGTGACTTATTGATGATACTGATAGAAGAATGGGCTATACACTTCGTCACTAATCAATTTCCTTGTATTTAGTATGAAATCATAACACGCGACTATAAAGCAATCCAAATCAGCGGTTAGAGACAGATAACAAGCCATGCTGATATTGGCATTAATAAATATATTTCTAATAAACCACTGTCAATGAAAACACAGAGTATTAACACGAAAAAGTGTATATATAAAAATCGTATATCAAGTTAATGATATATAGACATGAGATATGTATAGTCACGCATAAGTTTTCACATATATGTAGTACCCATTATCCTGATACCTTATCTGCAGTCTATTTCGTAGATAGAAAGCCCGCCCATACACAGGTGATTCTGATAAAATATACATGTATATACATCTGTATATTGTAAGAAATCAGGACATCTTCCATGCATCAGTCCAGAAAGTTTGTTGTTAAACAAGGTTAAAATATGGTTTGAACTATGACGATGTTTCTTTAAATAATATAATTATCAGTGTTTATTAAAAGTATGATATATCATCAATATATAAACCAAGTCAAGTATAGATAAAAGTACGAGCCTATATTTTTGCATATCAATACCAGCCCTAAATAAGTAGCGTTAATGCCAAACAAAAGAATGAAGACACAGTATGCCAAACAAAAAAATGAAAATACAATTCTTGCTTTATATCGCAAATCAACGGAACATGACAATAACCTATTATATGCTCCTTAAAGCATATTCGAAATTAACTTTAAATGGAAATTAAAATATCGAAAAGCCAAACTAATCTGCCGTTGGTCGTATTTGTGATGTAGAGTGTGAGGAATCACTGATAAAATCTAGTATTAAACATCTACCTATACATCATGACAGGTGTATCTCCAAGATCCCACGTTACAACAACGGTCTTGTCAGTTCAGGCGATGGGCAACGAACCGACACGACTTATACCATGTCACATATTTTTGTATTGGCCTTACATAGTTATGTATGTTAAAAAAGTGTATTGAAAAGCACAACAAAATGGTTTTTATGGTAACAGAGTTAACAGCAGCATCTCACCAGTACCTCGATCTCCGGAGAGTTCTTCAGGACACGTCGTCGTACAGGATGTACACTATAACTGCTAACAAAGGAACAACTATCAAAACACTTCATCAGAAACAATAGTATTGAAAATAAAATGATTGTTTTTTTTGTTATTTTTGTTATTTACTTATGAAACAATATCTGAATTAAAAATACTGTTATAATTCCAAAGTATGATTTTGATTAATGGGATTTTACAATGGTGCATTCTGTACAGAAAATGCATACATACATGTATAGAAATAATAATACATGCACACTTGTTTCTATCCTCATGGATGCTTCTTATTTAAGTTTGCAGGACAAAATAACCAATATTTACACATATTCATAATCAAATACGTTTTTAGACATTTACGTTTTCAAAATGTTAAACCTGCCTGAATTAAAAAAAACGAAAACCAAAAGTATATTTCGATTGTGATAAAATTAACGTGAATAAGGAAAAACTGAATATAATTATCTAGATCATCACGATAAGGTTTCATTGTTGATAGGACTTTGCTAGGAACATGACTCTCTGCATACACCATGGATATAGCATGAACAATAACCATGAAACGTTTCCATTCAAGTTGGTAAACGTCACAATTTAAGAACCATTAGAGACTGTTGCCTTGTGTTCTGTCGTTTTAATGAATGGAGTGGCATGCATGAAGAATTCACCAGCTGTGACTAAACTATGAGGTATGTAAAATTCGGATTATAGACACAAAGGAAATGCTAGACAATTTGACATACCAATAAAATAGTTTTCAATTTTGCAGGGCAAGTTTATGATGGCATATTGATAGACGGGTTGTTTTATGGTAACTGAGCCTGGATCATAAGCCTGAGCGATCCGCGCTAATGTAAACGCCAATATTCTTAAGAGGTGAATTAAGCCTGTTTCTAGCTTCTGATCACGGCTACTTTGCCTTACAAAATAACGACGAAATTGTCACCATAACGTGGGCAAAATTACCGCATCAAGAACATTCTTAATTCAACACATGTTTACAAATTCTAACAAAATAGTATCGATTTGATGGCGGATAAAAAAAACGGTAGTATGTTTCGCGATATTTTACTAATACTATACATTGTTGCCAAAGGGGTATTTAAGAACACCTGTGAGGGATTAGGGAGAATAGCGTTGACCTTCAGTAAGGGCACTGGTTATATGGCGGTTACTGTAATGCATACCGAACACCGATTTTGTGAAGAAATCTCCTTATTTTGATTGATTCTTTTATTACTTTTGTAATGCGTTTGGAATAAATTAGTGTGAACAGAAAACGGGGGTTGAAATGATTATGGAGCTGAAATCAGTGATTATATGGTTTATCAGAAAATATTGTAATCGCACAGACAACAGTCGCGTTAAATCTGTTCAGTGTCAGTAAGGATAATGGGTATATATACAACAAGCCGAACGCTCAACAGGAACACATGCCTGTAGCAAAATAAGTCAATCAATTCACCAATCATTTCAATGTTATACATGAATGCAGCGGACAGGTAAGGATGCGCCCAATCTACAACAAACCTCCATCCTGCATACTGATTAGACCTACGTCAAGGTAGAACTTCGACCAGAAATCCTTTGTGGTAGTACACAAAGACAGAATTTAAAACAAATCTAATAAAGAAACAATTAGTGTTCCTGGTATAACTTCAATTGTCGACAATATTTTCGTATAATATCCAGTTTTTGAACAAGCGAATCAAAAACAAGCCTATGCCAGTTCAATATCAATCATTGTTTTCATTATGTTACCGATATCTACATAGCATACGTATTTAAACCTCATGTCTATAATGGCTATGCTTATAAATATACTTGTATATTGCATACGTTAATAAATTCTTTTTACTCTTAAAAAAATACTATGTTTTTTCTACTAAATTACTACAGTGGGTTATTTCAAATGTTACTTCTCATTATATTGCGTTAGTCGTTATTTGTGATTCAAACTTGACGCTGTAAGTAGGCACAAAACAAAACAATTATTAATAAAATTCCAAAACGTGACGTCAGACTGGTCAACGTTATATTGCCCAATTTTGAGACAAATAAGCAGTACAGTGGTAAAGCGTGTGTTTGTGATGGCCGGTTTGGTATTTATACCTCCTGCGATCAATGTTAGCGACACGGTCTCCCTATTGGCCGACCATATAAGCTGGAGTCGCAAGTCCAGTGATGGATCTGGAATTCCGTCAATAAGGACATAGCCTAGCCCAGGGAAGTACTAGCTCTTTTGTAAGTAATGCATTCGTAACACAGAGAGGAAATATACAGCCAGGAAAACGTGACCTCGCAATGTAAAACGTCATCTTAAAATGCATGCTTCTGTCATAAACCAAACCAATCGTTAAAATGCCTTCTTTCATTTAGTTTCT